GTTGGTTGCTTTATGTGTTTGAATTCGCTGCGGATAATAATAATAATATCCAGATATTCCGGAGCACCATCCAATAGACCCTGAGGTCCATTTTCCAGTCACAACTCCGAGTTCATTCTGAAGAGACGTCTATTATCTTCCAGGGGAGCGTCTATGATGTTCCAGAGGAGCATTCATGGTCTCCGAGGTTTATTTTCCGATCATTCATAATTATAAGACGTCTATGAGAGTTTTCGAATAATACGGAGTTGTTCGATCAGTTTCATGAATTGACCACTTTTACGGATGTTTCGGATCTTTCGGAAGACCATCCACTGCACAAGTCCCAAAGCCGTATTTAGGAAAACAAACATTTTTGCGCCCAAACCGTATATAGAGTCTTGGGGAAAGTTGCTTCATATTTTTTGGCCGATCTTTATATGTTAATGAAATTACGGTGGTCGACAAAATTGGTGAATTGAATATACAAACTTTTTTATTATTTGAGATAGACCAATGCAATGTTTTGAAAAGTTGTAGAACAATAAGTTCGAAGCATTTTTGTTTAAGACACTAAATTTATATCTCTTATGGTTCATGAGTTATGATTTTTTTAAACAAGCAGGTTAGGGTGGCCCCTAAAAACAGATTTAGTTGATTAACTTTTCATACGTTCATTTTTCGTATAAAAGTTGTTGGTTTTGAAAAAAAAAACCGAGCCATAGCGTGGCCCCAAGGGTCCGATTTCCGGTTACAACTCCCATTTTATTCTGCTGAGACATCTATGAGTGATTTCGAACGATCAGAAGAGCTCGGATCAGTTTTATGAGTTTACCTCTTTAAGGGATGATTTTGATCTTCTGGAAGCCCATTTCGTGGACCCAAGAGTCAATATACCGATCACAATTTCGAATTCATTTAAATAAGATGTCAATAAATGGTTTTGAAAAAAAAAACCTAGAGTTCTAGGATAAGTTTCATGAATTGGCCACTTTAAAGGATGTTCCGGATCTTGCGTAACTGGTGAAACTTTCTCCAGGACATAATCAAAATCCTGCTGTGTCATTCTAACAAAATTACGGTAGTATTCTGGATTTTCATCGCTCAACTCCTTCAGTAGATGAGTCTAGATTCCGAAGCCTTCACATCGAGCAATCCACGATTTTGTCCAGATTGTACGACTTCTCCGCTCAATTCGTCTCTTCGATATGAGGTACGTTACGATTTTTTTGTGTAGATCTATGAAGTTCCCAAAATTTTTAATAAGTTTTCTCAATTTTTACGATATTCCCTGAACTTCTTAGAAGTCCTTGAAGTTCCCAGAAGTTAAAGAAAAATCCCTGAGCTCATTACCAACTTGTAGATCCTGTAGACGTCTTATTATGCCATCGATTAAATATCGATATAATATAATTTATCAAAATTGCTTCTTCTAGTCCAGAACATAAGAAAAGTAGTCAACATAAAGGACTTTAAAATAAGATTAGTAACATCGAACTTGACAAGCTTGACAAAATACCGGTGAGGGGGCGACCCCGGCGTAGTGGTTAACATCCATACCTCTCACGCCAAAGCCAAAAAAAAAAAAAACTCGGTGAATAAAAAAACACCAAAAGTTTGGGGGGGGGGGGGGGGCTAGATAATTCTGGAGGGGGCCTGGCCCCCTTGGCACTCCCAGTAGCTGCGCCAATGGAAGAGGACTTTATGAAGATATTTTATCATCTTTTGAATTATTGCTGATCCTCCTGCTGTTTTCTTAGAATAATTGAGTTATTTGTATTGAAGATCTTTAGAAAAGTATCACGTCAACATGCATACTTGAAAAAATATAAGAGAACTTTATGGACATCTTTGATGAAGGTGTTTGGATTTGTTTTTTAAGATACTTGCTCTCGTTAGAGAATGTTTGAGAGACGTGATGTTATTGCGAGAAGGTTACGAAGTTTATTATTTGGTTAGAATACTTTAAAGAAGTTCACTGAAGCTCGGAAAATTTCTTGGAACTTCAGAAATATTAATGAAGCTCAAAATTCTAATTTCATGCAATTTCATGTTCTTAATGTTTATGTTTGCATTATTAGATGGAAAACTGAAGAAATCTTCATGTCCACGCTATCAATTGACAATTGAGGTGTTTTTACGAGTCTTTCCTTGAACTGAACTTTTGCTGATGTGAGTTTGAATACGTGAAAATTGGAGATGCATAAAATTCCCAAGCGTGAGCTTCGGTTTGTAGTGTTGTGCACAAGTTTATTCTTTCAGCTCAATAAATGAGAATGATTTTCCAAACACCTATTATCGAAGATATGAAGTCTCAGACGAGTCGGCTTTGAAGTCAAGATGGCTAGCAAGCCTTATAGCAAATGACGGTGATCGTTCTTCAAAGAACTATTCCCATAGGTTATTTTCCTAAACTGTCAAGAAGGGACCTTTCTTGGCATGGTTATCCTGGTATCCTGGACACTGCCAATTTCACCAACGATTGTGGACGGCTGTTAGCCAATTGAACTAGCGTTTGCTGGATTGTTTATGGGGTTGATAAATAACTGCCGCCTTCGCCAGCCAATACCGTCAACAATGAAACAGCCCGCACCGCATGTTTTCGGTTATACGCAATAGTAGTGTAGACCAACGCCTGTAGTGCTTCCGAATTCTCGCCTACACTCACAAAATGATATAACGCACACTACTCATATTTGTCCACGTAGTCCCTCTGAATACTCAGTAATATTCTGGCCTTGTGACATAGTTCAGGGCTTTCATGCTACAATGTTAGATACCCAGGAGTATTTGATGAAGCTGTAGTCACATAAGACCTAATAGACTGTAATAAAAGGGATACAAGAACTGAAAAAAATAGTAAGATTTTGAGATTCGAACTTCGACCTTTCTGATCACTAAGTCGCAGCATTATTGCAGCGAGCCATATTCACCTGTAGAAAACGTTTTGCAAGCATGCATTACAATCATCAAACTTTTCTACGTCTATGATTGCTGAGTGTTCACGCAGTATTCACTCCACAGTAGCCATGGTTACAATACCAAACCATATTCTGTACTAGTTTGTGAAAAGAAAATGAATTGAGTCAAGGCTGCCAGTTAGGCGATGAAAACGATGATTTTGGGTGTAATTATTTTTGCTCCGGTGATCGGTATTCTTCTTCATTGATCTCACTGATGACACAAAGGATTCTCCGGAAATACATGGCAAAACGTATAATGAGAGAGAGAAGGATTAGTATTTTCCATTTAATTCCACTACTTTATTTGCTTATCCTTGACAGAAACGCGTATTTCGTCTACAATGTGCAGACTTCTTCAGTGTCTTGTACTAATACTCGAGAAGTCTGCACATTGTAGACGAAATACGCGTTTCTGTCAAGGATAAGCAAATAAAGTAGTGGAATTAAATGGAAAATACTAATCCTTCTCTCTCTCATTATACAGGTATTCTACTAAGACGCCCACATTCATCAGGATGGCAAAAAGTTCGTTTGGAATCTGGTTTGGCGATGCTCAAGTATCAAGGCGCTAACTTTGACCGTTGTAGAGATCGTAAAATGATAATCGAAAGATACCCGAAAATCTAGTACAAAGTCCACTGGGATTTTTCATATTTTTTGTTCTCACAAACTAAACAAAAAATCCTTTGAAAATAAATCCAAAAATGTTGGTTTAAGATCTGACGAAGACGTCAGAAAGTACCAAAGTGCTAACTTTAACCGTTTTAGAGAACGGAAGCCGGGAACCGAAAGACTCTCGAAAATCGGTTTTCGTGCTCCTGTGGAACCTTAACCAATGATTACCCAAGCGTTGAAAGACGAGTGGTCATCACATCGGCCCCGTAATCTCAACGTCGATGGTTCGGTCAATAAAATTCACACCGATTTCTTGTGGCTAAAATTAAAAACAAAGTGTCATATGGAAATCTTACGTTCATTTGTTTCAGTGTATAGTAAAAATAAATGAAAAAGCCCTCGAAAAAGCCCCAACAGAGCGATCCATCACTGGTCAATGGATTCTGAGTAATGGTTATTCGGAGTAATGATTTTCGGAATAGTGTACCACTATGTGTAGCGGCGTTCGGAGTAATGTCATAATTTTTCTAACATATTTGAATCTCCAACGTTGGCTGTATCGATATCAACTGTCAAACGAAACCTGTCACTCAAATGCATTCGTCCCCTTTCACGCCCATCCACAATCGAGAATAGTCAAATTCCGTGATTAAACTCAAAACACGCATAGCATTCCGCAAACCCCCTGCTGGGCTGCAAACGAACCCCACATTAACATCCATTACTGTCAGATCTTGACATTTCCCCAGCATGCATCGCGAACCGAACCAAACAACAAAATGCTACATTTCGCGCACACATAAAAGCATACGTCTCGTTTTGTTTGTGCTTCCCGCCATCATGCCATCATCTAAACGAACGAGACGTGTGCGAGGTAGGTACCTTACAACATAAGTGCATAACAACAACCAACAGAAGAACAAAAACACCAACAGACATGTAGAAGCTGCGAATGATGGAGCACTCTCTCCGAAAGCCATTTTTACACTTGCACGCCTTCTAGTACCTACTCACTTGTTGTTAATCTAGTACATACATACACAAACCGAAAGTGACAATGTGGGTGGTGCGGTGGAGAGGGGGGAGGGGAGGTAGTTTGAAGAAATCTGTGTATGCGGCGAGATGCTGAAAGGTGCATTAATTGTCATAAACCAGTAGAGTGTGTTCTTCAAGTGCAAAACACGTATAAAAGCCGTTCCGAGTAGAGTAAAAAAAAGAAGAGATTGTTTGATAAAAAACCAGACACAACTTAACCGAGAAAGCATGAAGAGATAAAAGCTTTTTTTTCAAACCGTAAACAAACGATAGAAAAAAGTAACGGAAGAAGTAGAAGAAGAGGAAGAAAATACGTCAACATAGTAAGCCATGAGTTGTCAAAAACATACGAAGTAAAGAGAAGCGAAACAAAAGAAAAAGAAGAAACAACTGAAAAACTGTCCTCACTTTTAGCGTGGCGCCGGAATCCGTTTCGTACTGGGAGGAGTCACCGGCGTCGCCTCCGCGTGCGGCACGGGCTCCGGCCATCAGACCGGTGCTTTCTCCGATGGCGCCACCGGCAGCGGCGATGTGCGCTTGATACGGACTAGCGTGTAGCATACGTTGCAAGTGGAGCACCTAGTGATGGATTTGATTTTCGGTTTTTTTTTGTTTGTTTGCTTGTTTGTTTGGCTGGACGATCGATAGTGAACTTAAAGGATATAGGTAGTACACCAAGGGGTTTGGAACAATTCGAGCTATTTTCGTACGAGCCGGAATTGTAAATTCACGCCGAAAACCGGTTCTGTTTTTGGTTCGAATGTTGTTGATGTGGACGTGGAAATTGTGTTTTTTTTTTTCTGAAAGGTACTACTCAATTTTAGTTGAGGTTAGGCGAAAACATTCAACTTCCAGAGAATCAAGAAGATTTGTAAAGTACAAACAACCATTATAGAAATGGCAGTTTGGTATATTTTCTTCGGTAGCAAAAATCATTGCAAGATGACGATTGTTTTACAGCTCAGAAAGCTTTTGGAAATGTCAAAAGAGAATTGCCCTTTACAATAAACAATTTTGGTAAATGTCAAATCAGGAAGGAAATTCACAGTAAGGATCAGAAACAGTCATGCAAGTTTTAAATCAAATGTGAAAATGTATTAAACAAAATTGGGAAAATGGTTTGTGTAACATTAAAATGATGAAATGGTCCATAAACGTTGGAAAAATGCTCCGTTACTGCGTAGCTACTCAGGCCCGGACAGGCTGTGTTTTTTTAGTCAGAGGAGCGGAGCGACGGGCAAGCGTCTAAGGTAAGCTTCTAAAAGAAGATTCTTACGAAAAAGAGCTTATAAACAGAGCATCTAAAAGAAGCTTCTTTTAAAAATTTCTTCTAAAAGCTCATTCTAGATGCTTGCCCGTCGCTCCGCTCCCATGATTAAAAAAAAATGTGTAAAGACATGACCGCATGGTTGACGTAGACTACGTTATGCTGTTTAGTGAACTTCTCGCGCATTTTTCTTTATATTGATTTGAAATACAGTAGAAGTAGAAGTGACTTTTCTCAAATCAAACGTTTGGTTTCCAATAAATCCGGAGTGATTTGAGATTTGGACGTAATTGCTTTTGTAAACAAACACTTCAATCACCGATTTCTCGCGAATAAAAACTCAGCCTAGAAAACTAACACCACAATCATGATAAGAAATGATTGCTCTGTCATTTGGAATAGTTTGCACGCGAGATTGAACTTTTATTCGCAAGAAATCAGTGATTGACGTGTTTGTTTACAAAAGCAATTACGCCCAAATCTCGAAGTTCTCCGGAAATAGGTGCTTAGTACAACACTAATTGAAAATTAGGGAGATTCAGTTATTCAATTTCGAAATCAGAGCGGAAGCTCGTATACTGGTTCTCCACCTGTTAAATGTTTTGATAGTAAGCATCAGCGTAGATCATAGCAAGCATCATCAACTTCACAGGTTCATGCAAAGCGATGCGCAACCAAGTGGTGCTCGATTATGACGTCTGGGTTAGAGAAAACGTATATTTCATGAAAACGGTGACAAAATTATCACATTCAATTTTCACATAGTTTTTTATGTAGAATTGGAAAAGTATTGATTTGAGTAGATTCGAAGAGTTATTTCCTATCGATTGGTGTGTTTGGTTTTTAATTTCTCCTATAAATGTCAAAGTTATAAGCGTTCAAAACCTAACACCTTTTCGTGACTGTCGCAATTTTAAATTTTCGATTTACCCCCTGTACCCTCCCGTAAGGCGTAGTCTACGTCAAAAACACAGGCAGGACAGTAAACTTGAGAAACTATGCAGCACAGAAAAGGTTCGTGGAGCATTTCATCGTTTTAATATTGCGCTTAAATAGCTGCCATACAAAATTATCTATACAAAAAATGGGGTGGAAATTTTCGGTCTGTGTTCTGATGTTGTTACATCTGTTTTCAAGTTGAATTGTTGAGAAAATGAGTTTGGTACGTATTGATTGGTTGTAGGACAAAAGATCGAAAGGACAAATCTAGGGGCAAGATAGTTTTAAATCATGACTAATATGGGAGTTAATTTTGAGAAACTCTGGGTAACTCGACTTGCTCATTATTAAATGGACGGTAACATGGGCATCCTATTTTTGTGCGTGTTTATTTCCCAAATGCCACGGTCAGATGTTTGACGAAGCAAACATTTCAGAAGTCTCAAACTCACCATCATTATCACACTATCCCAAGGGGTAGGTCACTCCGCACACCAATCTTGGGTCAACATTTTTCTCAGTGTGCCGCAGGTGTGCCTATTGTGCCGGCAGTACCGGTCATACACTCTAAAAAATCGTGCCGTTAGTAACTTTGACCTGCATTACACGTCATGTCCACTAAAAATGTTGGTGAAATTGATCGTTTATTCACGTAAACAGATTTAGTGTATTTGTGTTTATGTGTTTGGGACTTCGATATTTCCGTGAAACGAGATTTACGTGATTTACAGGTACGCAAAAAAATATCTATATGGCGTCACCGAGCGTGGTGGAAGAACTCATCAAAGATTCAAAATTCCTCAGCGCTTGCTGCAAATGTTGGATGGTAATTAGATTCTTTTACATTAATTTATTTATGATTACATGTAGCCTTTTTCTAGTTTTATGATTTCAGACGGTGACATCAACATTTTGAGTCTGCAAACAGGTGTTAATATTTTTTTCAGAATAAAAAGCTTATACACGTGAATACCATATAATAATCAACTAGTCAATATTTTACAATTTTATGAGTAGATATAAGTATTAATTTAAACACGTGAAATTTATACCTTCCCGATAAAATTGCATGATATTGGCTGCTTCTATATATACTTCCAATTATTCTCATTAAAAATTCACGTACAAATTACATGAAAAGCATTTTAAACAAAATGGAATGTCACGTAAAAGTCACCAGATGTCCAGTAGATTTCACTCCGATTTCACGTAAGCAGTACGTGGAAATCAGATGTTATTTACCTGTCTAATCACGTAGATAATTGAAACTGAATTTTGATCGGCTACGTGCAATTCCGTTAAAAGTTAAGTGAAAAATAGGGTGAACGAAAACCACCTATATTTTCACGTCAATGGGACGTGAAGATTTTTCAGAGTGTAGAGCAAGCGGCGATTTTTGGTAAAATACGAATATTGTGGTATATTTGGCAACCCGGTATTTCTGACAGCTTGAATGTTTTGGTTTGCAATTGATCAGTTCACGAAGATTTGCCGCACTCTTCTCTCACCCGTAAGTTTTGACAGTTTTGGGTGGTTTGTTTTGGCTCCCATTCGTTGCTATCTCTTTTACTCAGAAGCAAAATGATAGGGAGCAAAAAGTGAGGTTAGGGACCGTGCACTGATCTATTGCAAGGATAACATCGGTCCAGCGACAACCAAGGAGGAATGCTGGCGAGATGGACCGTGAGCGGTCTCAGCCGTTCAACAGGACACAACAAAGAAAAACAGTCGGAGATCAACCGGAAGTGTCCCCGCATCGAAAACCGTTGGATGCGAAACGTTGAACGGCTCCGAAAATGTCGAATATCGCGCTCGATATCGATTCCTTCTACCGACGATGATTCGCTGCAGAAGGTGGATTGCATTCTGACGGCGGTTGGCGTAGACGAGGAAACCACCTCGCTGCTGGGATACGAGCTGACCGATACGATTACGGTGTGGAGGGCATTCCGTCGGTGAAGCTGTTGGTTCGGGATAAGAACGACACTGACAAGGCCAATTTTGAAAAGCTGCTGGAGGCAATCAAGGGATCCAAGGATGGCAAAACGTTGGGCGTCTTCTCCAAGGACAACTTCCCGGGTGAATTCTGTGAATCATGGCGAGCCTACGTCAAGGACAAGAGCTTCGACACGGTGGACATCAGCGTCCCAATCGGTTACACCATGTGCTCCAAGAAGGACTCCGAGGTTATCACCATCAAGACGTATTCAACAAGTACCTCAAGGATCACATCATTGGGATTATCGATGCTGATAAGAAAGTAAAACATGCCAAACTGTCGAAGGGTGTTGAGCAGGCTCTGACCGACAAAAGGTACGTCTCCGGTGTGGATACCAACTAGTTGGACATGTGCTACCCGGTGATTATCCAGTCGGATAGCAATTACAGCTTGAAGTTTAGTGCTCTAATGTCTTTCGAACGTTGCTGATCAATTCGATGAAAACGATTCAGCAGCACTACACCTTTCTGCTCAATCTGGAAGAGGAACTGCTGAAGGTGATGATTCCGGACAAGAAGCTCTCGGAGGTTTTCGACGTCGGAATCAACCAGTGAAATTCGATTTAAAAATTGTAAGTTAATTAGGTTCAGTGGAAGCAATAAAAATTCCGTGTGATTGTGCCGTGAAAAGTAGTTCGGTATTGTTCAACTGAGTTTGGTTTGGTAGATTTCTGGTGATTTGCTGCTGAAAAGTAGTCTTCTCCTTTGAAGGTTCCGTATCCAACCGCCACCACTGCATGATTCAATCCATCCTAATTGTTCCTGCATTCCGGTTCGTAGTACACTTCATTTGCGTAGTAGCTGAAAGACTTGTGACCGGCATCGATAGCAATCGACAGCCCTCGGAAGCCTACATTTCGAATTTAAATGTGAACCGAGAAGTGAATTGCTGGTCTGAGTTCCTCTAGAGTATGTTTCTGAAATACACAGTCAAACAACACGTAATGTTCTGAACAACTTCAATGACAGCTGTCCAACAGTGCTCCCATTTTATTTAATGAACAATCCAATCCCTACGAGATTGTGCCGAAGGTGTACCGATGGATGTGCCCAATCTACTTTCGGCACACTGTGCTGAGTGGCTTACCCCTTGCACTATCCTCGAATCCCATAATCTTCGTACCTATTCTGCTAAACCTTACTAAGCAGTTTCATCCTGAATTGAAGGCAGACAATCATCATTCAATGTTGACCATCCTCATGGAGAAGATTGCATTCGTAAAAGAAATCCAAGTGTTTTAGCGTCTCTGAGAAGAGTCAATTACATTGTCATGACATCTTTAACCGTGCGACGGTATTCGGGTCTTATTCGACCTAAACGCACTATTCAATTGACTGTATCTCAGAAACCCTTAACTTTGACGGATTTTTGTTT